GGAATGGGTTAGCATGAGGATTAGTTCAAGTAGTTGAGTTGATCCGAGGTTTACATCATCCAAGGGAGTTCACCTCGGAATGGACTGTCATGAGGATGAACTCAACCTAGTTTATGAACTTGTTTAAGTTCTTAAGTCAGCACATGAAGTTCCTATTGTTAAAGTCCAAGGCTGACCATATTATATGATAACGGTACAGACATATACACATATATATATATATATATCTTAAGCTTAGTATCACAGTTAATAATTGTAACTAAAGTAAATTATGAAGCTGCACGTTTTAATCATAGGTTCCTATTAGAAGTCATAATAGATGACTCTTCTCCCCCCTTACCCTGCACATTTGGGGCTGCTAAACATAAATGTTGTAATCATAAATTACACTATTTGCATTTTTATGCTTGAACATGTCCAATAAACAAGGAGTCATGCATGTGGTAATAAAAAGTCTTTCTAGCTTGTAAATATAAGAACAAAAATTGGACATGCAAAATAACTCATAAAAATCTTAAATGTGCAAAGTAATTTTGAAATTTCTAATATGTAACACTTACTTGACTTGCAGAGCAGAATTAATTTATACTTGAGAAAGAATTGTGCTTGATGAGGTAGAAACTTGGGAAAGAATTTAGCTTCTTACGAATGATGTTAACTCCTTCTTGCCGTGACTCAAGAGCAAATGTGGAGAGAAAAAATCTAGCCTCTCATAAATGATGCCAGAGAAGAAATTTACTTGATCATCTTCGTAGGCTATTCAGCTTTATGGTTAGAGCCCGTAGCCTTTTAAAATTGGATGGAGGAGTTGTTCATAGCTCGTATATAATTTTGATGGAGGAGCTCACCATAAAGGGATTTCTCTAGAACCCACCCCACATGGAGTCCCTGCACTTTTCCATCTCTAAAATAGTAACATATATTTATAATCATAAGTGCAAATGAGCAAAGTAGCATGATTATGATATATAAAAAATGAGATGGCAAAATGATATTATGAATGCAAAAACAAGTGCAGAATGAATGGAAAAATGTGGAATGAATGTAAAGAATGTGGAAAGCAATTAATAATAAATTTTAATATAAGATTGGACCAAGTTTGGATCAAAGCTCTAATTTGCTGCGGAGCTTAATTGCTTTCTTGACAACCTGTATCACAAGGACTTGAAAAAAGGAGAAATCAAAGGCATCCAGTCTTATAATCAAGAAAATATATTGTGTAAAATAAATAAGAGAAAAAGATTGTGAGTTCATCTTTTTTTAATTTTCAAAGTAATACATGACTAATGAATTAAATTTATATATATATATATTAATGTAGAATCTATGTCTTGATATTATTGATATTTGAATGAATTTTATGAAAATTTACTTAATTTTGCATAATTTTCATTCTGTGCTGGAGAGGACTTAATTGGTAAAAGTCACAATCCTTAAGAGTAAATTGCAAAGATATGAAATTTGAGGATTAAATTGTGCAGAATCCAAAAGTAAGGGGTCGGGACTGTAATTTTACCGTTAACAGAATTTGCTGAGAAGGACGAAAACCCGACACGGACTCTTCAAGACGGATGCAGGAAAAGTGTCGGCACCTTGTTGAGGATGTTGACACCTTGCAACTAGTGCTGCATATCTTTCAGCTCATGCTCGACCTCTGCACCTCGTGTTCAAGTTCTACACTTCATGCTCGGCCTCTGCAGCTCGTGGCTGACCTCAGTAGTGAGTGTTTGAGCTCTACAGCTTGTGCTCAAGTTCTGCACTTCGTGCTCGACCTCGGCAGCAAGTGTTTGAGCTCTGTAGCTCGTGGTTGACCTCGGCAGCTCGTGTTTGAGTTCTGCACTTCGTGCTCGACCCCTATGCTTTGTGCTTGACCTTTGCAGCTCATGGTTGACCTCGGCAGCTTGTGTTTGTGCTCTGCAACTTCATGCTTGACCTCTGCAGCTCGTGGTTGAGCTCGGAAGCTCGTGTTGGAGCTCTGCACTTCTTGTTTGACCTCTGTAGCTTGTAGTTGAGCTCGGAAGCAAGTGTTTGAGCTCTACAACTCGTGCTCAAGTTCTGCACTTCGTGCTGGACCTCTGCAGCTCGTGGATGACCTCGGCAGCAAGTGTTTGAGTTCTGCAATTCGTGGTTGACCTCAGTAGCTCATGTTTGACCTCTGCAACTGGTGCTCGTGTTCTGCACCTCGTGGTTGACTTCGGCAAACTCTTTTTTGTCTTGCACGTATCTCAATCTGCCTGGTCAAATTTCTTCCACGTCTCAACTTCCTCCAAATATTGGGAATTGGGTGTTTGATTTGATCAAGGAAATGTGAAATGTGTATAGAGGTGAGGGGAGACAAAACAGAAGATGGATTTGGAGAAATCTATTTTTGGCAGGAAATGGCAATGTTGTGAACAAGAGCTACTGCACCTACGGCACTGCCGCAACCGGTGGCTCTGGTGATTTGAACAACTACAATAAAGAGGTTAACAACCCAGATCTCAGAGTCACTTCGTACTCCGATGACGCCAAAGGCCGGGGTAGAGAGTTGTCCACTTACACGAAAACATCAACATTGGAAATAGCTAGACATTTATCAGTTATTAGCCAAACTTTGTTGAATGCCATCTCCCCCAACTCCATGCCTTTATTCACTACACCCTCCAACCCCATTTTTGTTTCCTTTGTTTTGTATTACCAACTGAATAGATGGAAAGTACATCCATGGTTGAGGAATAGAGGGGCACATGATTGCCATCGCCGAAACAGGAGGAACTTGGAAGAAAAGGGATATATATATATTTTTTTTAGGAACTTTCATGGTCCGTGCTCACCACCTCTTCCTCTTCTTTTCTCTCTTTTTTTTTTTTTTGTTTTTTTCTTTTTCTTTATTTATTTTATATATATACATATTTTTACTACTTTGACTTGCCTTGAACATGTGCTTTACTGATACCTTTTTTCCTTCTTTGAATATTCATGGTTGACATTACACCATACGTACCTTTTATTTTATGAAATAGGCTCTCGATAATTGTGCAAAGCTGAACCTCAATAATTGTGCAAATCTACTCCTCTATTTATCTTCTTGTGAAAGCTTCTCTTCTTTGCAAGCGAATAAACTCATTCTGTAAATTCATCATATCTACTTTTGTGACTCAAAAGAATTAGCCATGAGCCTTTCACTCATCTTCTCTTCCCTTCGATCAACTGGATGAACATACAAATAAACCTTTTTATTCGAGTTTCCACAGACGGCGCCAAATGTAATTGCACCAAACCAGAAGTCCTTCTTCAGTCCGCATCTTCACTTCAAATGTACCTGCAAAGCCCCGAGGTGGGTCCTTGGGGTAGACACTCCGATGCTTAAGTCAGCAATAATCGGGGCTACCTTTAGAGTGGAGATAAAAGGAGCTTAAGGTCAGTTTCAATTACCTTTCTGAGGTGGCCCCTGGGGGTATTTATGGGCCTTTGTGAGGTATCCACGTGGCTTGCTTAGCAGGATAATCGGAGTGTGACGTGTTCCTTAAGGAGATAAATTCAAGATCAGGAAATTAAGAGAAATTCTGGTGTGAGCATGCTCACCGTAACTGTCATGCAGCTGTTTGACTAGGAAGTGCTTCACTTCGGTTATTAAGAAATTATAGCAGTACGTCCGAGGTCCTTAACCTCGGACCTATCCTTACAATTTCATTCCCATTTAATGAAAACAAAATGAAACAAAATTGCTTGAAATAGGAGCAAACCAAGACAAACCTCAAAGCTCAGGTACTCTAGCTAGCAGTCAATTGTTTCTTCAATTTTTTTCTGTAAAGATAGAAAACAACATAGAAGAACAGCTTTTTGGTGCTTTTCAGAATGCAAGATATTTAAAAGTTTAAAGCTATGATAAAGTTATTAGGAAATTATGAACCCTCACATCCAATCACAGATTTAGCTTCAAGATTAGTTTGGTGGAAATTCTTGTAATGTGGCTGATAACTCTATTTAACAAATCTGGTAACATCCAACAAAAACAATTTACCAATTAAAAAAATACCAGAAAGGCTAAAACAAGCACAAAAATAGAAAATTTCATTTAGCAATGTCTTGCAACTTGGCAGACAGGGTTTGATATCATTTAGCAATGTCTCGCAACTTGGTAGACAGCATATATCAGACATAATAGATAATGCATATGTAGTCCCAACAGATGGAGTGCAAAAACTACTGAGAACAAATAATTTTGACAAGTAATAAGGTAACCTTTGAGAATTTATAGTTCTATAGATCAACAAAGATTTCACCAGTGGAGCCTCTACAATCAAGTGTATAAAATGCTATGCACTTTGATAACTTTCGGCATTTCTAATTGATCAATTTCTGAGATGAGAGCAGCATTTCAAGAAATATTTAGAGGGAAAAACAGAGAGCAGGTGAATTCTTTAAACAAAAGTGTATATTTTAACCGGAATAATAATCCATTAATGATGACGTTACCCAGAACCTTTTTTGCAAGAGAGCAAGAACTTGCGTCAAATTTTTCAAAGAACTCTCCACCAAATGTCGATACATCACTGTCTAAGGCAAGAAAATAATATAATCTTATTGAACTAGTTCCACTTCTTCTACATTGGCAAATTGAAAATGGTACTGTATGGGGAAATGCCCAGATTTTAACCCAGGACCTTATGTTGATCGCAAAGAACAAGAGGAAATGGTCAGTTTGAGTTGGAAGAAGAAAAATGCATTATATTCAACTTCAAATCTATAACACTAACAGGCATAAAATGAGTACAAATTCATAATCTTCCCCACTACTTTTGTGTTATGACAATCAGCTAGGCATATTACAAACACAACCAAGATAGCAAAAAAAATGTTAAGAAAAAGAGTCAAACCTTTTTCTACTGAAACATGAACCATGGGGTTGAATTCTTTTGAGGAAGCACAACAAAGCTCTGCAAGAGTTTTCCCACTGCCTGTCTTTCCTTCTGGTGGTATCAAGAAATTTGCTGACAATGCTTCTTCAGTCACCATTTGTCATAACCCGATTTTTCATTCAGCTTATTTAAACTTTTCACATAAAAAAAAAAAAAACACAAAAAATATATATATATTAACCACAAAAATTAATAAAAAAAAATCAAAAAAATCAAAAATTATGAAAATATGACAATCTCTCTTTTCTTTAACTAATACATCTTCATTTTTCTTTCAGGTGCAAAAAGGGGAAATTCAAGAAGGAAATGGGAAAGGAAACTCGAGAAAGGACTCAATTGAAGAAATCAAAAGGTGGAGGGGTGAAGTTCATCAAAATGAATTTATAAGTCCAACCCAATTACCCAAGCCCAAAATCCCAAAACCAAAAATTACCCAAAAAACCCAAACCCAAAACCCGTTTAACCCAAACCCAAAAACAAAAAAGAACAAAAAAAAGAAGAAAAAAAAGGGGAAGGCATCAGGAACTTTCCCCTTCCCCCATGAATTTTTTTCATTTTTCTTCTCCCTCCCGAACCAGCCCTGCCTAGCCTTGCACCAGCCTGGCTCCTACGCCCAGCCTTCCTCTGCGCCCAATCCCACACCCCTGGCTTCTGCGCGCCTGATCCTGCACTCTGTGCCGCGGCCCGCACCCAGCCTGTGCCTCTGCGCGCCTGCACTCTGCGCACCCAGATCGCCTGCACTCTGTGCGCCAGATCCTCTCCTCTGCGCCCAGATCCCGAGCCATCATGCCCCTACGCCCCTGCTGCTGCACCGAACCAGCCCTTGCCGCCTGCTGCGCCGAACCCACGTTGCTTGCACGCTTGCACTCTGCGCCAGCAATCATGCC